AAATTTATTTTTAATTATAGTTGACATACAATATTATATTAGTTTCAGGTGTACAACATAGTGATTCAACATTTATACACCTTACAAAGTGATCACCACAATAAGTCTGGTACCATCTGTCACCGTATAATTATTATGATATTGACTATTTTCCCTATGCTGTACATTACATCCCTGTGACTTATTTTATAAGTGGAAATTTGTACTGCTTAATCCTCTTTCCCTTTTCCAATGATTCTTTCTTTGATTTTGAAGATAAGGAACTTTATTAACCTAGTTCTCAGCATTGGTCTTTTTGAATTAGTTTTTCCTCTAAATCTGTAGATTCAAGTTTTTATTATGAATTTTAGTTTTTAATTGTGGTAAAATACACATAGCATAGAATTTGCCATCTAAACCATGTCTAATGTACAATTCTCATAGTTTATAACATTTACCTCCTGCATGGTGTTAGTGCATTTACGTCGTTGCACAACCAATTGCAACCAATTGAACTTTCTCATCTTGCAAAACTGAAATTCTATAGCCATTAAACCACAGCTTCCTGTTTCCCCACCCCCCAAGCCAGGTTCAGTTTGTTATTTTTATTTTTAAGGAACACTGTCCTCAATTATATTTTGCTCTCCTTCAGGAGCAGTCATTATACATATGGTATTACAATCAAGGTGTCCTTGATTTTGTTCCTCTGAATATGTAGTGTACTGTAGAGAAGCGCTTTGCCATCTCTGCCCATGATCTGTCATTATGAGACACTGTGTCAGCATCCTCCCTCAATTTGGTTCCAGTCCCACTGGACTTGCCAGAAGTTCTTCATAGAAAGTGTTATCTGGGGTTGTAAGTGCTTTTTCCATTTTGTTCCAAACTGGAATTTACATATCTATATTTTCCTTGATATAAATAAATTCAGTTGGTTTCAGAGATAAGCTGGTAGATGTATCTTTACTCCTCTTCCTTACATTTTGAATTGTGTTATTGAGTGGTTTTCCCCCCTTTAACTTAATTTATATATATGTAATTTATTTAGAATATCACCCATATCTGAACATCAAACTTCCATAACCCTAGAAAGCAGGAAAACAACTGAAAAAGCAGAAATAAGCCTATTTTTAAATTGAACCATTATTTTTTGTCATTTCGTGAAATTTAGGGTGGGAAGGGAGGTAGAAAGCTGTGCTTGGCTTTCCATCTGGACATAGATGTGTTTGTATGTATCTTGAGTGGTTTGTTCCACAGAGGTCACTCTTTGCTCCCCACCCCTCCCCGCCTCCAACAAAGGTAGTATGTTAGAGCGGACAGACCCATACCACAAGGGGGAGCTGTCTGCTTCTTTTTATCTTAGTCACCCTGGGTCCTTTGGACTGCTGCCATTATGTTGAAAGAAATTTTACCTGGGCTGGGGTTTCCTCTGAAACAGCACCTGGGGAAGGTGTTTCTCCTTCACCAGGCTTTGTCATGATCATTGTGCCTCCAAAGGCACTGATGTCTGGATGTGAGATGATTGAAGCTTTCTCTCCTTCGAGTGGGGAGGACCTGGGATGTGTTAGGGTGCTGGAAGGCAGATATCATGGGAGCCTGGGAGGAGGATGGAAGAAGTGTTGTGTGCAGGTATGGGTCTGAGTGGAGGGTGCCTACATGAATGTCCATCATTCAGTACACAGACCATTTGTTAAGCATCTATTACCCATCAAGGATTAGGGATACTGAGATGGACATATAGACTTGCTTCTAAAGAGTTACCTACCTGGAAAACAGGTAGCACACATGCAAAAAATATGTTCCGAGAATAGAGAGGATGGAGGCATTAATTTCACAGGATGAAAATGGAGAGGTGGGTGGAAGTGGTGAATTCATTCAACATTCAACTAGTATTTATTGAGCAACTGCTGTGTTCCAGGCACTCTTTTAGGAGGTGGGGCTATACCAGTGAAAAAAACAGAAAGCCCTCCACTCTTGGTGCTTACATTCTAGTAAAGGAAACAGGTAAATAAGTAAATTATATAGTATATTAGATAGTGAGAAAATCTACAAGGTAAGTTCTAGAGATCTGCTGTGCAATCTAATGGGTATAGGTAACAACGTTGTTGGGAACTTAAAAACTTGTTAGAAGGATAGATCTCATGCTAAGATGCTAAGTGTCCCCCCTCCACACACACACACACACACACATGCGGCAAGGGGATACAAGAAATCTTTTGGAGGTGTTGAATACGTTTATTACCTTGATTGTGGTGATGGTATCATGGGTGTATGCGTATGTCCAAATTCACCAAAATGTATACATTAAATATGTGCAATTTTTTGTATATTACATAGACCTCAAAAAAGCTGAAAAATAAATGCTAAGAACAAAAATAAAGTAGAGAATATGTGGGGGAGTAGCAATTTTTAGATAGGCTGGCCAGGAAAGGCTTCTCATAAAAAGTGGCATTTGAACAAAGATCTGAAGGAAGAGAGAGAGAGTGAGCCATGTAGATTATATGACAGATGTTAATATATATCTTTTGCAATTATTTAAACCTCGAATAAAAAATTCTAGATGGCAGCTTTAAGATGTGTAATGGGGTACTCAGTTTTTAAAAATTCTTTTGGAACAAACTATCAGAGAGGGAAAATGAGATAATAATCCCATTTACAATACCATTAAAAAGAATAAAATACTTAGGAATACATTTAGCCAAGGAGGTAAAAGATCTGTGCAGTAATAACTGTAAGATACACACACACATACACACACACACACACACACGCCAAAAACATGTATACAAGTGGGCACTTTGGTCAACATAGCTCAAGCAGTAGTTCGCCATAATCAAAAGTGTCTGGAAGCTGGTGGTAACTACTTTGAGCACCTCTTGTTATTGCAGAAGTCAAACGTGACTTGTGTTTATCTTTTGTTATTGGTATATATTGAGTATTACAATTTTAATACAGTTTTTATTTCTTAAATGTGTATATATATTATTGGCACCCTCTGTGTGTGTGTGTGTGTGTGTGTGTGTGTGTGTGTATTCTAGTAAATATATAAACATATTCAGCCATGAGAAAAAAGGAAATCCTTCCATTTGCAACAACATGGATAGACCTTGAGGGTATTATGCTAAGTGAAATAAGTCAGAGAGAGAAAGACAAATAATGTATGATCTCACTTATATGTGGAATCTAAAAAACCCAAACTCCTGGAAACAGAGAGTAGATTGGTGGTTGACAGTGCCTAGGAGGTGGGGGAAATGGATGATGGTGATCCAAGTGTGTGAACTTGCAGTAATAAGATGAAGCCAGAAGCCTGATGAGCGGATGAATGTGGAAATGCGGGTGTATATAGGTTTCCTAGGGCTGCTATAATAAACTTCACTTCCCTACACCGGGATGACTTCAAACTACATAAATGTATTGTCTCACAATTTCAGAGGCTAGAAGTTCAAAATCAAGGTGTAAACAGGGCCATGCTCCCTCTGAAACCTGTAGGGAAGGATGCTTCCCTGCCTATTCTAGTTTCTGGTGTTTGCTGGCAATCCTTGGCATTCCTTGTCTTATAGAGGCATCACTCCAGTCCCTGCCTCCGTTGTCACACAGCGTCTACCCTTGTGTGTCTTTACATCATCTTCCCCCTGCATGTCTCTGTGCCCAAATTTCTCTCTTCTTACAAGGACAAGAGTCATATTGAATTAGGGGCTAACCCTACTCTAGCATGACCTCTAGCATAATTAATTATATCTGCAATGACCCAGTTTCCAAATAAGGTCACATTCTTTGGTACTGGGATTAGGGCTTCAACAATCATTTTAGGAGGACACAATTCAACCCATACTATGGTGGCAGTCTACTTGAGTGTGAAGTGCCCTCTTTACCCAGTGCTTATTATAATCGCTGCTCAGAGGGGGCCTGTTCCTGAAAGTATACCTTTGTTTCCTTGGCAGTTGTCTCAGAAATGGACGATGTGTGGCAGTAGTGGAAGGAGTCAGAAGGAAGATGTATTTCCTCATTCATTTATGACTAAAACAGGGTCTAGGTTGAGTGCCCCCCAGCCCCAGGATAGAGCGGGGGAACCAGATGAGGTAGGAGGAAGGACGGTCCAGAATCAATGCCTCTGGGTTGTTAGAGAGCAGACATGCCATGTGCTGGGCTTGGGGAGAGGTGATGGTTCTCTTCCCCTATAGTCATGAGTGTTCCTCCTCTGTTCACCTGTGTGCTAAGTATGGCCCTGGACCATGGTGGAGGGAAAGGAGGGATGCAGAATGATCACACGGATCATTGTAATGGATTCAACTGGCCTTTTTAGTCAAGTCAAGTGCCAGCTATCACTGCAGTGGCTCAGATTTTACTGATCTGATCTAATTAGCTATTCACTTTGCCTCAGTGTAGAAATTATGAATGGAAGGCGGAGGGATGCATTTTTAATAACAGCACAAGAAAGTGGCTTTCATAGCAATGGCTCGAGCTTTGACTATTTTCAGGATGGTAAATCCTGGCTCTTTAGAGGTTGATTTAATTTTTGAAAATGCTCAAATGTCACTAGGAGCCCCGTGTGATGAATAAGGAGGCAGACCAGAACCAGAGTGGCATTTGGACAAGAAGGAGGCCCAGCACATGTGGCTGTGGCCTAGTGTGACAAAAAGGGCTTGTTAGAAACAAATGAAGAAACCAAAACTCATAGACACCGACAGTAGTTTAGTGGTTACCAGAGGGTAAGGGGGGAGGGAGGTGGTAGATGAGGGTAAAAGAGATCAAATATATGGTGATGGAAGGAGAACTGACTCTGGGTGGTGAACACACAATGTGATATGTAGAAGATGTATTACAGAATTGTACACCTGAAACCTATGTAGCTTTACTAACAATTGTCACCCCAATAAACTTTAAAAGAAAAAATTGCTTGTTAGGGGCAGTGTCCTCAACACAGGCTGTGACTGGCTCAGGGCCTGGGATCAAGGCAGGACGTTTCTCCCCTTCTTCTCTAGGGTCCACCCCACAGAACACAGACACACAGCAAGTTGCATGCTTTCAGTTTAATCAATCTGGGCCACAAACATGTTTAAGGCATTAAGGCCAGGGACTCCATTCTTTCAGCTTCTCAAACCAATTATTTGGATCAAACTTTTTCTTCAGTCCTTGTAGAATGTCAGCTCCATCTAGAAGAAAGCGGAGATGAAAATGAGACTTGAAGGGCCCCAGGCACCATCTACCCTTTCCATCCTCCTCAACTCTACCTTGGGCTTTCCAGCCTCACCAGGCCCCTGGGGTCAGAGGGAGTGAGGTTAGATTCCCCAGATGCTGAGAGACCTGCCCTCTCCCCCCACCTGGGCAGGGGCCAGAGGAATAGAAACAAGCAGGCTCTGCAGTGGAAAGGCTGGGGGTAGGGCCCCAGGGGGATCTGGTATCAGAAAGCTATGCGGTTTGAATGTGGATGAGAAAGTGGCACCGTTTGAAAGCACAAAATGAAGGAAGCTTTAATGGGGAGGGGCCTGAGTCAGTTCCAAGTTTCCTGTGTGGGGTGGGGGTGGGGGCATATTCTTGCCCACCCTCTGCCTGTGGGTGGTGGGTGGTGAGTATTTCTGTCCCCACAAGGCTTTGCCTTGGGATGCACTCACTTCCAGCTATTTGTTTTCCATCTTGAATTCTTTCATTCACTTGTTTTTCTGCTTCTTCAAAGGCCTTCTCTGCTAGCAAGAGACTTTTCTCTATCATAGCTTCTAATTTTGGAGCAGAAGAATTGTATCAGTAGAAAAGCAACAGCGTTTAAAGAGAACCCCCACCTTCCCCCCTCTCCTCCCACCCTACATTATCCCTGTATAAATTCCTAATGTGGAGAAGTTTTGCTGAGGGGCCATCTTCTCTCTCTTAGGAAGGTGGGTGGGCCATACATGGTGCAGGAAGCAAACTCTGCTGTTGCAGAGACTCTATGGGGTATTGCGTGCACCCCAATTGTGCCTTTGTGTTCAGGTGAATGAATGTCTGCTGCTTCTGGGCATGTCTCTGCGAGTGGAGGTGTCATGCAGACCTGTCACCAGAGACGTCTCTGGGTTGTTATTTGGTATAGAGACAGAGACTTACTCAGAACATTTAGTCCTGGCCTCGGAGAGAGGACCTTGGCTGGCCACTGAGCTGCCTCCGAAGTCTTCTGGGCTGCTGTGTCTATCTCAGGAAGAGAAGCAGTTTTCGCTGAAGTTGTCCTCTCAAGTTCAGCTTATACCAATTTGTTATATACCAAATATATATATATTTGTTAATTTATATAATTATAAATTATATAATTTATACCAATTTGTTAATTTTATAATATAATATATATTAAAATAAATATGTATTTATACATACAAATATACCAATTTGTTAATTTTAGTAAAGTCAAAGTGTTCTTCCTTCCCCCCTCCCCCCCACCCCACCTTAGGAATGGGTGGCAAGGCCTCAGAGACCTAATATGTGCTGGGTGCCAGGATACAGAAGTGATATTACATAAACCCTCCCTCTTCAGGGAGCTAGGATTTCTACACTATGTGCCTGTTATAAGCTGAATGTTTGTGCCCCACCCCCTTATTTATCTGTTGAATCCTAACACCCATTGGGATGGTATTGGGAGGTAGGGCCTTTGGGAGGTAATTAGGTCATAAGGTAGAGCCCCTGTGAATGGGATTAGTGCTCTGTTAGAAGGGACCCCAGAGAGCTCTCCTTTCTTGTCTTTCCACCGTGTGAGGATATAGCGAAAAGTTGGCAGTCTGCAACCTGGCAGAGTGTCCTCACCAGAACCTGACCACCCTGGCACCCTGATCTCAAACTTGTAGCCTCCAGAGCTGTGAGAAATGCATTTCTGTGGTTGAAGTCAGTCTATGGTTATTTGTTGCAGCAGTTGGAATGGACTAAGACAGAGCCTGTTGGAAGGTGGGCAGGGTTAGGCACTTCTCATGGGCAGGGTTGGGGCTAGAGTATGGGGGGAGTCAGGGAGCATGGCAGAGAGAAGCTGGGTCTTAAAGGCAGGATTTTGGTAGGGAGGGTGTCTAAAGGGGCTTTGGGGGGGCAGGAAGTGAATCAGCAAGAGCTCAGGGCAAGGCATGTGTGGGACAGCTATGAGGAATGCGAGAAGTTCAATCTATTGGATGTGGAGGTACGTGAAGGAGAGGGAGGGAAAAGAGGGTTGGAAAGGGGGTCTGAGGCTGGATAGCGGGCACCTTGCTAAGGAGCTGGGAGTCATGAGAAGTGTTTGTGGGAGAAAGTATTAATACTGTGTGGAACATATCCCTTATTACTTAACCTCATATTCTTCTCCCTTTTATTCACAATAAGCCTCTTCCCCATTCTTCCCACTGACAGTGCCCGCCTGGGTTCTCCTGTTTTGTACTTACCCTTGTCCTACTCCAGTCCCCCATTACCACCAAGAGCAGGACCCGAATCCCCTCACGCTGGATTGCTTTCCCAGACTCCACTGACATCCCAGCTCATTGACTCCTCCCTCCCCCCTGGGCAGGGACGAGAGGGCGGGAGAAGGACTCACCACTAGTGGGCTCCTGGGCAGGAGCAGCCTCCACAGGGTCAGAGGCAGCATCTTCTGCAACGGAGGAGAGAGACGATGGTGAGGACTGAACCTGATCCACACCCGCGCCATTCCCGCCATTCCCAATTCTGATCTCTCAGGAACGTTTGTGGATGCAGGAGGATACATTTTCCTGTTGGCTGAACATGTCCTTCTGCCACGCTAGTGGGTCCCCACCAGGGCATTCTTTCTGATGTTTAACTCCTACAGTTTTTTGAAGCAGGTTCTCCTCAGAGAAGTGCAACAGTGCTCTGAAAATTGCCCTTCTCCCAGCTTGCCTCTGGCCTGTGAGGGTGCCCTAAGATTGTGTCAGGGAGCTGGCTGTGGTCAATGGTGCTGGAGGAGGACAGTACAGGGGCCACTGGGCCATGCCCGAGTGATTTATGAAATTGGGCCCCCACCCCTCATTTTCCTTATTCATTCAACACAACGTTTATGCAAAGTTCTCTGCTAAATGAAGGGGCTTCAATGATGAAGAAGATGGACAAGCCCTGACAGAGCTTATGTTCTATTACTCAGTTCTTTAGTTCCGGTGTGATGGTCCTAGAAGAGCAAGTGCAGCATAATGCAATAAGGGCAAGTGGGGCCTAATTTATCCAAGTTTTTCGAGGAAGTCATTTTTGAGGAATTCATACCTAAACTAGGATTTGACAGATGAGAAAGTGTTGGACAGGAGGCATTCAGAGTTGGCTGGGGGAAAGGCACAGGGAGAGGAAAAGCATTCCAGGTAGAGGGAAGAGCAAGAAGGAAGGTCCCAATGTTTGAGGAACAACAGGGTGGTCCTGACCTGAATAGTGCTTTTGTGATATTGAAAAAGGCATCCCAAGCGACAGCCATGGGCAGGGTGTGCTGCTTGGCAGGTGGGACGTGGGCTATATTTCAGTCCTTACCACCCCCTGCCTGGTACCTTTGTGCAGGAGACAACCTGCCCAGCTATATGTGGTGGCGCAGAGGCCCTGCAAGAAGGCCACTGTGGCTGGATCACAGTGAGTAAAGGAGGATGTGTGAGGCGATGAGCTGGAGAGCAGCCCAGGCCAGGGGTTCCTGGCTCTCAGAGCAGTGGGGTTAAGAAGTTATGTGTGGATATTTGGAGGCAGGAGTCACTTGCAGAGGTGGGAGGAACCAGGACAGCATTGGGAGAGAAAGAGAGGAATGAAGACAGGAGTGAAGGCTGCCCTGGACTGTGAGGGCTCTGGCGGGTGCAAGGGGAGGGCCATACTCACGGGCACAGACCAGGGCCCCAGCCAGAGCTGCCAGAAGAAGGAGAGCCATGAGTCTCATGCTTGATGATGAGGAGTGAGTATAACCACAGAATCCTCAGCAGGTCCAGAATACATTGCCTGGACTCCTGGGCCCTTTTTAAGATACCAAGGGCCAATGAGAATCAAGCTTGGAGAGGTGTGACTTCCGTGTCCTCCTCCGCTTCTTCCCCAGATGGTTGCCTGTTAAGTCAACAAGGGCTAGCTGGGGCTGGCTGATTCCTGGCATCCTTGCTGGGGAGGTCCTTCCCCCACTGACTTCCAGCCATCTCTTTCCTCCCCTCTTCCTGCTCCACTCCACCCGCCCTCTGGGTTCACATCTCTGGGATCTCAGACACCGGAGGCAGAGCAGGTTTGGTTTGGGAAGATTCTGGAATGTGTCTGTTGAGGCAGTGGTAGGACTCTTAGTCCTGGCATCTCTCCAGGGGGCTCGGGAGGTCACGTTGCCCACCTCTTGCAGCGATCTCCATAGGACTCAGTGTAGGGGCTTGAAGGTTTCCCTAGGCTAAGTGACCCCCATTCCCTGGGGAGGTCACACTCAGAACATCTGGGTACTGAGTTTATGGTTCCTTTTTCCTCTTGGGGTGATGGCCTTGAAGGCACATGTTCCTTCTCTGGAGTTGTTCCCTGTTCTTGAAGTTATCTTCCCCCCGGGAGGAACCGCTCCAGCCCCACATGGGCTCCTGTCAACCTCCATCTTCAGGCCTAACCAATGGGACCCCACATTTCTGAGAGGACCTCCTGGTTAAAGCAAGTTCACTGAAGTTGGAACTTGGTTGTCCCTTCAAGTGGGGAGCTGATCCATGGTGTGAACAATCCAGAAAAGCAGATCATTCTCTTTGAGTTGGGGTTTCTTCCTCCCCTGAGCTGGGATTCAAGAGGCCTGGACTTTGAGCTCTGATTTTGTTATATACATAAGATAGTGTACTGTTATATACTGAAAAACTTGAAGATTTTCATTTGTCATTGAGGACTTCATGGCTCCTATGTACAAGATAGTGGTGGAGATTAAGTGAGATAACATATGACAAAGCATTTCATAGGCAATACATTTCTATGGAGATGTGTGGGATTCTTGAACTTTGCAGAGGATTTACCTTTCTGGGTAGGTTTGATTCAGGCTGGTGGTAAATGCTAAATCGAATGGCGTTGAGGAAAAACAGGAGTTAGTTGAAGGACTGAGCGATGGAGAATGGAGTACCTATTTGTGATTCTCCATTTGCTGGATGTTTTGTTCTTATCAGGGCCCAGGTGGTCCTGTAGGCTTCTATGCCTCATGGCTGCTCTGAAGATTAGTGTGAAAAAGGGGGTTTTGGGGAGTTTTTGGCATGAGGGTGTTTTGAGTGTCTGGGTTCAGAGCATTAATCTCCTCAGGATATCAAGAAAGAGGAAATGAATGGGGTAGGACATTACATATATGAGGAAGTGAGTCCTTTCAGGACATTTCACCCATCCTTAACCTCCAGGTAAGATGACTGTCACGTTCAGGCAGCTGATCTGCTCCAGACATGGGGTTTGAGACCTGGATTGAAGTAATGGCTCCCCTATCAGCTTCATGTGTAATTTGATATTTGAGATTTATCTAGCATCTAATGGTGGCCAGTAGGTGAAGCAGAGAAATGCATTGCATTAACATAAGGACAGGACTTGGCAATTGACTGCCTGAGGGTCTGGGCCTGGGAACCTTGAAGGCGGTGGTGGCCATAACTGCATGGGGAGGGCTGAGAGACAGGAGAAAATTTTAACTGCATGAGTGCCCTAGGGTGTGTGTGCATATGTGTGTGTGTTCATGTGTGCATTCTGACCCTAGATCCCAAACAATCTCCATGAGCACATTAAAAAAGTCAACAGAAGCAAACTATGATATTTGCACAAGATTTTTCTAAGAGGAAATGAGAACTTTGGCATCAACATTCAAGCTGTCACAGAGCAGGGTCTTTCCAAATGTCACTGCTCATTCCTTTTCCTCTCTCAATTCTTCTCTTGGCCTCAGGAATTAAAGAGGCAGGTACTGACATAAATGCGGGTGAAGTGGAAGGTAGCAACACTTGTTCTAGAGAAAAATTTCATAACTTTATAACAGGGCCCAGGTCCAATGTTA